TGGCAATTGGGGCCTCGAACAAGGAGGCTCCAACTTCGTCTCCAAAAATCATCCAGTTTCAGGTGCCAAAAACGAACCCCAAACTAGCTCAATGGACTTACTTGTCTTGATCATCACTAATCTTTCCTTTTCTGTTCCGGTCATGAAAAGCGGTCTGGTATTTCCAAAGCCTGCAATCGAGGCGCTTCGAGGCTCGGCGAGGCCTGGCCGAGGCCACGCCTGGGACGCAAAACTTAGTGACACAAGGACAAAGCGAGGTTCACGGAGACTCAAAACTGTGCAATACTATTGTTGAAGTCCCAGCAAGGTTGAACTTGAAATAGTTGGTAACTGTGCTGCCTTGCTAGAATTTTACGCCGCAGCTGGCGCAAAGGGACGGCCTCAAGGCAAGCCTCGAAGCTTCACGGTATGGAAAATTGCAGCAAAACAAAAAAATATAGGATGAAACAAAGTTAGAGGCAGGCTTCAATGCAAGTCTCGAACTCTAGTTTCGCGAGACCATGGAAATTAGAACAAAACACTTCGGGGCAGGCTTCGAGGCAGGCTTCGAGACAGGCCTCAAGGGCTTCAAGGCTATGGAAATTAAAGCAAAACAATATGAAAGAAGGGAGCCTTTTTTGGTCCTCAAAACGTAACAAAAATGCAGGCGCGCAAAAATGGGTCTCCCTTGTATGTAACTTCGCGCTGCATATAGGGCCCACTACCCTTCACACGAAGGGGGCTTGAAGGGGGGCTTAAGGGGGGGCTTAAGGGGGGCTTAAGGGGGAGCTTAATGGGGGGCCCAAGGGGGGGCTTAAGAAGTGGCTTCAAGGGGGGCTTCAAGGAGGGTTTCAAGGGGGTGGCTGAAGGGGTGGTAGTAGTAGTAGTAGTAGCAGTAGCAGTAGCAGTAGCAGTAGCAGTAGCAGTAGCAGTAGCAGTAGCAGTAGCAGTAGCAGTAGCAGTAGCAGTAGTAGTAGTAGTAGCAGTAGTAGTAGTAGTAGTAGCAGAAGTAGCAGTAGCAGTAGCAGTAGCAGTAGCAGTAGCAGTAGTAGTAGCAGTAGCAGTAGCAGTAGCAGTAGTAGCAGTAGTAGCAGTAGTAGCAGTAGCAGTAGTAGCAGTAGTAGCAGTAGTAGCAGTAGCAGTAGCAGTAGCAGCAGCAGTAGTAGTAGTAGTAGCAGTTGCAGTAGCAGTAGTAGCAGTAGTAGCAGTAGTAGCAGTAGTAGTAGTAGTAGTAGTAGCAGTAGTAGCAGTAGTAGCAGTAGCAGTAGCAGTGGTAAAAACGATGCATATGAGAACAAAGGACGTAGGAGTAGCCAGCAAGGGGAGCCTGTTAAAAAAAGCGGGTGGGGTGGCAGGGCGCAGCGCCTCCCCCCGCAATGCGGACCAAGAAAAGTAGTAGTAGTAGTAGTAGTAGCAGTAGTAGTAGTAGTAGTAGCAGAAGTAGCAGTAGCAGTAGCAGTAGCAGTAGCAGTAGCAGTAGCAGTAGCAGTAGCAGTAGCAGTAGCAGTAGCAGTAGCAGTAGCAGTAGCAGTAGTAGTAGTAGTAGTAGTAACAATAGTAGTAGTAGTCTCTTCGCTCAGCCTGGTGCAGGAGTGGAAACGCACTCATGATTTGCTTGATGTTTCGGAGGAGGCCGAAGAACCTTATGCAGTTCATCCTCTTTGGGAGCTGTGTGCACGGGGTCTCTCTTGCAGTGAACTCTGGCGTGAAAGCGTAGGCAAGAGATTCCATATCAATGTCCTGGAGGCCAAATCTTACATAAAAGAAGAGAAGCGGTGTGCTGTGCAGTCGCCTCGTCGCCGCATACCATTTGCGCTTGATTCGCAGGTCTGTCTTGGATCTTTGATCAAAGGTCGGTCGGCCTCTGCGTGCTTGAATTGAATCGGTGCTGAAACGGTCATTGCCGTATCCTATAGCTGGTGGAATTTTTGGGCATGATTTATATTACCCTTCCAGTTTCAACGGAGCTGATGGGCCAACCAGATCGGCTGATCCAAAACTTGCCGACATGCATCTTCCTGAATGGTTCTGGCGCACTGGCGATGCTTTTTGCACAGGGCTTGATGATTGGTTGAACAGCATTGGATCTCTGCAGAATGATTTGCCTTTTGGCGAGCTGGGTCGAGACGTGCATGCTGATCTTTCTCCCAACCGTAGGATTAAGTTGAAGCCCCCAAAACGGAATCAGCGTATAGCCGCCAGTGCTGACCCTGGGGTCCCTCCTGAGGGAAAAGCACCAGAACTTCAACAGCGAGACCCTGAGCCAGAGAGAGGGGCCTTCGCATGAGGAGAACATGTTTTGTCGCCTTTTCAAGCGTTTTCCTGCCACGCAATTCTTTTTCAACGATGCCTCCTCGTGCTTTGAAGTGCCAGGCGTACTGCACCTTTATTCTGGAAATTGTGGTGTGGCAAAGCAGCTTGTTAAGCATGGAGCGCCGTGGGTCCTGACCTTTGATTGGAACGCAGAAGTGATGAAGATTTGCTGAATCAGGAGCTTAGAGAGGAATTGTTTGCTTTTGCAGAGCAAGGCGTTTTTTCTGCGTTTGGCATGGCGCCTATTTGCGCCTCCATGCAGAGCTATCACCCCACCAGTGCGGTCTCGCCGCTGGCCAAAAGGGGTTCCCCATATGCCTGGTAGCATGAAGCAGAAGGTGAAAGAGGGCAACATTCATGCTCAGTTTTGCTTGTCCCTCGTTCTGGTGCGAGACCCCGGACAAGTCTTTCCTTTGGCTGCAGAGGGGATGGCAAGATTTTTTTGTTGCCTTCAAGCTTAGATGTTTTCAGGCTTTCCTAGTGCCGGTTTGGCACGAGCTGCCGCAAGGACACTAGAGCGGCCACAAACACTGCCCTAGCAGGCCCTCGCATGCTTTGCAAGTGCGGCAACAGAGGCCATCAACGTTTGCGGGGATATAGCATTCTACATGGTAAAAGCTGGACTGCCGTAGCTGAGCCCTATCCAAGGGGTTTTGCAAAGATGTTAGCCCTTGCTACAGCCATTAAAGCAGGTTGGTGTAACAGTTCACGCCTTAGTATTGCTGGTTGTGCCCGCTCCAAAGCCATGCTTATAGGGGAAGCAACCAACCCCGGACCTGCTAGAAGGTTTGCATCTCGGCAGTCTCTACAGGAACTGCCTACTATGTCAGCAGCAACTTTGGCCTTGGAAAGCAGCGTGCTCAATGCCTTTTTGAGTTCGTGCCGAAGTGAGATTTGTGGAGTTTCCTGTGATGAACTTTTGACCTCGTCCCTACCATCTTGGTTTATTTGCTGCGAATTTTTGGCGATTTGATGTTCCAAGAACGAAAAGCATTGAGCAATTACAGACATCTTTTGCTTGCTGCTCAGCGATGGAAGCCACTGTGTCGCCCATTTATGCAGCCTGCATGGGAACTGGTCAATAGATGGGAGCATCAAGAGCCTGTCACACACAGAACTCCCATTCCTGAAGCATTGGTTAGGGCAATGGTTGTTACTGCATGGTTGCATGGTTGGTATGCATGGGTTGCCGCTACATTGATTGCATTCTATGGTGGTGGTAGGCTAGGTGAGATCTTGCAATGCAAACGTGAAGGTTTGCTGCTTCCCATTGACTTCATTGAGCCTGGACCTTCTCCTGTTTTCCTTCAGCTTACCAAGTTCAAGAGCCGAACTCGGCAGCCAGCCCGAGTGCAGCACCTACGTGTAGTTGATGTCACAGCATACAAGATTCTTCACCTGCTCATGCGCAAATTGCTGGCTGATGCCCTATTGTTTGCTTCCTCCCCATATCAATATCGTAAGCGTTGGGATGCCATCCTTAGGTGCTTAGATCTCCCTAAATCCGTCAGATTGACTCCGGGGGGTTTGAGAGGAGGATTCGCCGTTTGGGCATATAGAGTTGGTAGACCAGTGCAAGTCTTTGAGGCTTAGATCCCAGACAACTCTGGAATCGTATCTTCAAGAAACCGCTGCTCTCAATTGTTTTGCTGGTTTGCCCTTCAATGCGAAGAAAAATATTATGCTTGTCTCCGAGATGTTTCCGTATCTCCCAGCTGCCGCGCTTTGATCCTCAGGATTTCTACGCTATCTCTCGGCTCTGCTGTATGGGTGGAGCGCGTCCCTTCTTACACCTGGACCGGTTTTTTGCAAGTGTGGAATAGCTGCTTGGTGCTTTATCCTCCATAGCTGCAGCATGTGAAGCATTGAAACTGGCTATGCTTGTGCCTCCGAGCTGGAATGTTGCTGCTGCAGCCGTGCAGCGATGACATCACAAACTTGCAGGGCTGGATGGATTAAAAATAACGCGATTCAGTCAGCAGTTGTCCTGAGCAGTATTCATTTGAAGATGGAACATGTATATATATTACCCCAGTGTATATATATATATACATAATATATATATATACATATACATATACATATACATATACATATACATACGTATATTATACATTCCATGACGTGCAATGAAATGGACCCTCATCTTTGAGCCATCCCCATCGCCTGATCAGCCCGGAGAAGATCGAAGAAGTGACGTTAATGTACGGCGTATCAGTGACGCGTGGGCCACGCTTGTTATAAGTTATAACCACTGGGGATGAGATGGGCCTTTGTGGGTGCTTGGTGCCCAGTTCTTCAGTGGATTATGTTTGACCCCGCAGAATTGCGGTTGTCCTTCGAATTACCACTGCTGACGCTACTCTGAATGCATGGAGATAGACCTCAGCTGTGGGAGTTTCCCAAATTTGTTGATGTTACGATGCAGGGATGATGAGGTCGTGTCCAATGGCCAATGGAAATTACACGCACCTGACCCAACATTTTCCTGACATGACGTCACCGTATGTCCTTCTAACTTGAAAACACAGACCCGAGAGGGAAATTAGACCATCAACTGCTGGATTAATTTCTTGGTGTGGATGACCAGTACCTATATACCTTGGAAGGGTAGTCTCCCATCGTCATGGCTCCACTGACTTTTTGGCCGTGAGTCAACCGGTCGCGTCGCCCCTGGGCCCCACATCTTCTGACTGCACTCGCTAGCAATGGCTCGCCGGTCACCTTTGGCGTTTGTGTTGGCGCTCTTGGTGTCTCGGTGTCACCCTGGTGGTTGGGGACTAAGAATAAAACCGTAGTTGCTATGGACATGTTTGGACATGTTTGGACATGTTTGGACATGTTTGGACATGTTTGGACATGTTTGGACATGTTTGGACATGTTTGGACATGTTTGGACATGTTTGGACATGTTTGGACATGTTTGCAGTTGCCAATTCAATCCAATTCCTGGATTATATATATATATATGAACATATGGATTTATGAATGAATTATTATGCCCATTGGACTTCATATTTTCCGGGTGACCTTAAGGTTTGTTCCCTTTTGGACAGGCTGCAATCTTGTGCCAGGCCATACATTTCATTCCCGGTTCCTTGGAGATCACACCCCATGTCCACAGACTATATAAATGAAGAAAAACACCAAAAAAGAGGTCAACAATTCCACTTCTAAAGGTTTCCAAAAGTATATAGAAAACATCAAACATCAAACATCAAATTCAGGGACTTAGAGACTTAGTTTCCCCATATTTTCCCCATTCCAAATAGCCCGCTCCAAGGGTTCCCAAGGGTTCCCCGGAGGCGCTGCTGTGCGCCCCAGCCTTCCTGATGCCTGGCAAGATGGGAGCGACCGTGACCGAAGAGAAGAGTCAGTTGCTGGCCGCAGGCTTGGTGCTGCCGATGATGAAAGTTGGGTTAATACACTGTTTTTTTTTTGGCATATATTCCATATATATATAGATTATATATATATAGATTATATATATATGAATATATAATATAAGAGAGACAAACAAACAGATAAATAAATAAACAAATAAATAAATAAATAAATATATATATATATCTATCTATCTATCTATCTGGGTGGGTGTGTGTGTGTGTGTTTTGGATCGTTTTTTTTTACATATATGTCACGGGAGAAATGGTGGGAAAAGGGGCGGGAACGACCCGGTCGCCAGGTGGTGCTTTGATGGTGGCCTCTATGCCCGCACCTGCCTATGCCGGTGGCATGTTTTTGGGCGGCCATGGTTGGGTAGGTGTCGGCCTGGTCCCGTAGCAAAATGCCGGGAAAAATGGGGGATTTATGATCCTTATGATCCCTCATCATGAAGTGTGTGTGTGTATATATATATATATATATCTACTATAATGATATATCAGGTGTCAATGAATTGCTTGGCTATTTCGTATGATTGCTATCCTCACTTTTGGGGAAACCACTTGATGTATGTGACAGTGACTTTCCCAAGTGGTAGATGAATCTCCATGACCCACTGGGCTGGACCACTGAGCCTAGGTTTGACTTCGGCCTCACCCTGCCTTTCGTGGCCCTGTCCTTCCTCACTATGATGTTCGTGCCATGGCCTGAACCAATGGTGTCGTTGCAGGCTATGGTGGTCTCACCTGGGAAAAATTGTGTGACCCAACATCCAGTGGTTCACCACTTTCCCAAGGTAAACACAACAATAAACACTCCCCAAAATCACCATAAATGGGTTCTATAAACCATCCCCAAATGGTAGGTTTATTATTGGGTTGCCCTCTTTGAGGGTATTCGCCATTTTTGAGACACACTCACCTTGCATTTTGAGACTCGCCATAGGTGCTGAACGCCCTGTGGTATGCTCCCATGACGGAGGTCTGGACGCTTTCTGCACGTTGCGCCATCGCTGGCTGGTTGTCCAGTTGGAAAAAATCAACACGTGGTCATGTCGGGGTTTCCATCAATGGCACCGCAATAGCTGGATGGTTTATTTCATGGACAATCCCACTATTCAATTGATGATTTAGTGTACCGCCAAGCCCCACCCATTTTTTTAGGGTTGAACCCATGTCATGTATCATGAAATTTCGATGGTGTCATCAGGCGAAACATGTTCTGTTGAACTACAGATAGCCAATGGCCGTATGGATTTTCCCTAAGAAAATTGAGTCAATCGCCAGCATTTCCAGAAAAATGATGGGTGTTTCCTCACACACTTGGATAGTAAGTTTTATGATCTGTGGGCGAGATTTTCCCCCAAGATGATGACCTTCCAAGATGACGATCAGGATTACCTCCCGAAGAAAATTTATTAGATTGAAGGGAAACGCGAAATCGAAAATCACGCTTATCAAATTATGAAAGTCGGCTTTCCACCAGGTTTTCCATTTTGGCCATGACTTGGAGTTTCCCAGAAAAAACGGACCCAAGTCGTCACAGCGTTCGCTTTGGGGCACAGGAGGTGGATGAGCGCAACGCCAAGCTTCTGCAGACCTTGTCGGAGGCTACAGACATGTTGGCGAAGGCTGATGAGATGCAGGTCATTTTTGGTGGGCCCGAGGGTGAGCGGTGCGTTTTTTTCACGACTATTCGTTGAAAATCATCCAGGTCCTCAGGTGGCACCTGGATGATTTTCCGACGGAGTTGTCCTCATTGATAGCTGGATAGTCACCGTACTCGTCGAAAAACCATGCAAAACAGGGAGATGAATCTAACAAAACAAGGTAGTTTTTGAGCTGCAAGCCTGTGATGGAGTCAAGAACTAACGATGGTAGGCTGGGATGGAACAGTTGCGAGTAGCAGGTTCAGCTTGAGGTGAATCTCAGATTTGGTGAAGAAAATGCGAATCTAAATCAGTGTGGCTCATACAATATCAGTATAAATTATAATATATGGTGTATAAAAAATGTATTGTATATATGTTGAAACTCAAAGATTCAATAGTAACAAAAGACAATTTCCAGCCCAAAGTGATGCCTAAGTTTGGCTCGCGGGACCCCACATGATCCTAGTGGCCGTGTTTGTGGGTCCTTTGCTACTTATCTTGGAGTACAACTGGATATCTTGGATTGTCATCCCCAAAAAAAACACCATCTATCCACATGCTGCTAGAATAAAAAAAACATGATCCCAACAGTTGCACTAACATTTATCCAACATTTATCCACAGATTTTTCTTTAACATTCATACATTAGACTGGATTCAAGATATAGCAACCGACATTTATCCAACATTTGGATGTCAGTGACACCGGGGTTGATTTATCCAGAAATTCAATCAGCATTTATCAACCTTCGCCTTCCAATAGGTGCAGTACACGGCCGATATCAAGGAGGCACGGGAGAAGGCTGCCAAGGACGGATGTCACTCACTCAGCAATATTAGTTGTGTTATCTCTCACTATTAGCATATAATACATATATATATATAATTATATATACATATCATTAAATACATTCATAATGACATTTCTTGACGGAAACTATGCTTGTCTGGTTTTTCCGGCTTCTGAACATGTATTGTGTTTGGTTCAGTAAAATTTCAGGGATGTAGCAACTGAAAACCGGCAAAGAAAAATCGACAACAAACAACCTGATTCTTTTCGATGATTTCTTTGGGGCTGCTTTTAAGCACTCACTAGTTTGTGCTTGGTGGACCCATCTAACAAGTGAGCATCCGTTTGGTGCAATCTCCATCAATCTGCATTTTGGTGTCCCAAAATAGATCCCCCAGTAACGTCTGGATATGTGTGTATTTCAAACATCTATCATATATCTATCCGAAAACTGGAGTCTATTTTTTTGATCATTTCTATATTCAGATGATATTATCCATGGATGATACTATCATATTTATCCATATATCATCATTTCATCCGATATGATCATTTATCATCATTAATCTATTATATCATGTATAGATCATATTTATCAACACACATGTATACATATATATATATATATAATCATTTGTAATAGATGATATAATAGATAAATGATAGTAGACATGCTATATATGACATCATCGTATTACTGGTTGGTGGTTTGGAACATTTTTTATTTTTCCATATAGTGGGAATGTCATCATCCCAACTGACGAACTCCATCATTTTTCAGAGGGATTGAAACCACCAACCAGCAGTAGTGGGGTTGTAAATCAACATTCTATCATTGGGGTTGTTATACATGATATAATAGATAAATGATTTTAAAGATATGCTATGTATGACATCATCGTATTACTGGTTGGTGGGCCGGTTGGCCGCTGTCGACCGCTGGATGTTGCGTTGCGCTGGGACGACATTCAGGAGACAGAGCAAGACCTTGGATGCCTTACCGTTGGCTTGCAGATCAGAAGAGTTCCCAAAGGTTTTCATTTCCACTTTTGGCAAATAGCAGGTGCCCAAGACGGGCGACGTCGAAGACCAACGTCGTGCGCAAAGGAAATGTGAGAAATGGTGGTTTGGAACATTTTTTATTTTTCCATATATTGGGAATGTCATCATCCCAACTGACGAACTCCATCATTTTTCAGAGGGATTGAAACCACCAACCAGCAGTAGTGGGGGGGTTGTAAATCAACATTCTATCATTGGGGTTGTTATACATTATATAATAGATAAATGATTTTAAAGATATGCTATGTATTACATCATCGTATTACTGGTTGGTGGTTTGGAACATTTTTTATTTTTCCATATATTGGGAATGTCATCATCCCAACTGACGAACTCCATCATTTTTCAGAGGGATTGAAACCACCAACCAGCAGTAGTGGGGTTGTAAATCAACATTCTATCATTGGGGTTGTTATACATGATATAATAGATAAATGATAATAGATATGCGATATGCTATATATGACATCATCGTATTACTGGTTGGTGGTTTGGAACATTTTTTATTTTTCCATATATTGGGAATGTCATCATCCCAACTGACAAACTCCATCATTCTCAGAGGGATTGAAACCACCAACCAGCAGTAGTGGGGTTGTAAATCAACATTCTATCATTGGGGTTGTTATACATGATATAATAGATAAATGATAATAGATATGCGATATGCTATGTATGACATCATCGTATTACTGGTTGGTGGTTTGGAACATTTTTTATTTTTCCATATATTGGGAATGTCATCATCCCAACTGACGAACTCCATCATTTTTCAGAGGGATTGAAACCACCAACCAGCAGTAGTGGGGTTGTAAATCAACATTCTATCATTGGGGTTGTATCATGATATATAGATAAATGATTTTTTAAAGATATCTATGTATGACATCATCGATTATTACTGGTTGTTGGTTATACATGATATAATAGATAATGATTTAAAGATATGCTATGTATGACATCATCGTATTACTGGTTGGTGGTTATACATGATATACATCATCTTTACTGGTTGGTGGTTATACTGATATAATAGATAAATGATTTTAAAGATATGCTATGTATGACATCATCGTATTACTGGTTGGTGGATATACATGATATAATAGATAAATGATTTTAAAGATATGCTATGTATGACATCATCGTATTACTGGTTGGTGGTTATACATGATATAATAGATAAATGATTTTAAAGATATGCTATGTATGATATCATCGTATTACTGGTTGGTGGTTATACATGATATAATAGATAAATGATTTTAAAGATATGCTATGTATGACATCATCGTATTACTGGTTGTTGGTATACATGATATAATAGATAAATGATTTTAAAGATATGCTATGTATGACATCATCGTATACTGGTTGGTGGTTATACATGATATAATAGATAAATGATTTTAAAGATATGCTATGTATGACATCATCGTATTACTGGTTGGTGGTTATACATGATATAATAGATAAATGATTTTAAAGATATGCTATGTATGACATCATCGTATTACTGGTTGGTGGTTATACATGATATAATAGATAAATGATTTTAAAGATATGCTATGTATGACATCATCGTATTACTGGTTGGTGGTTATACATGATATAATAGATAAATGATTTTAAAGATATGCTATGTATGACATCATCGTATTACTGGTTGGTGGTTATACATGATATAATAGATAAATGATAATAGATATGCTATATATGATTATATATATATGTTTTATATGACATCATTTTATTATATCTTCTCATAGATCTCATTTTTTCATCAGATCCCTGTTAGGCCATCCCTTCGATCCCGCCATCTCTTCGCCGCTGCCACCAGGAGTTGGCCGACGCGCGCAAGGCCACTGAGGAAGCCATCGCCAAGGAAGCGGCCGCCGCGGATGCGGTGCGAGAGGCAGAGGCGCCGCGGATGGGGAGTGCTTCGGGATTTTTCATGGTGATTTGATGGTGAGTTTAGCAGGATTTTCTGGTGATTTTGATGGTGATTTTACTGATTTTGATGGTGATTTGATTGGGGATTCAGTGGTTTAATGGTAATGTTTATGGTGGTTGAATGGGATTCAATGGGATTTTATGTGGTGATTTAATATGGTGATTTTAATGGATGGTTATATTGGGTGATGTAATGGGGTGATTTAGTTGGAGTTAACCAACAAAACATGGGGATAGGAATGGGAATTACCCTACTGTATATTAGCAGTTTGCTTTGGTATAGATGGCCCACTTATATATACAAATATATATAGATATGTATATATGATTTATATAGCTATTCATACTGATGCCTATGTGATGTTGTGTCCATCAGGAACTCTCACTCGATTCATGATGTCCATTGCAAACTCTTAAATTACCATACCAGAGGGTTGGTGGTGAACAAAACCCAGTGTGATCAGAAGTTCCCCTGGTTATTGGCTTATCAATGCTTGTCACAGTCTTAATTGTGTATAAATTTGATGGGCTTCTGCCATTTTGAATGATGAGTTGATCCTAAGCTTTCTCATTCGGAACGGGGTGATAAAAATGGTTTAATGATGGGTTGATGGTGATTTATCTCAATTTTGAACGGGGCTATCCAAATATCCCATGCTTAAGTATAGGTGAACTATAATGAACTATAGCTATTCTTACCAAGCAGTTACGATTTGTGTGATCCTACAAGTAGAGAATTTTGGGGGGATCCAACAGCGAATGCCACCCTAAACCGCACATATAAAGTAGTAGTTTTCCATTAAACCCGTTCTATCCCATTGATGAGGCGTTGAATTTTTGCGTTTAAGATTTACCCGGCCTGGTAAACTAACAGTTTGCTATTGAACATGGCCATTTATAGTGAGTTTTCCCATTAAAGATAGTGATTTTCCATAGTTATGTAAACGTTTACCAGAGAGTAAGACTATACCATCTAGTTTTTTTTTGGAACTCATGAAGAACATGGTTGCTAACCTCCATCCTTTATGGGACTTATGGATCCTCTCCGTGTTGGCCACGGGGTCCAGGCCAACAAGTTCCGGGCAAAGTTGGACTCCGAGATGAAGGACAAGATGGCCAATGCCGAGGGCACCATCAAGGCGGCGCCGACCTTTTCACATGAAGAGCTGGTTGGTAGTTTGAAGCATCCCAATGGATAATCATCCCCTTGTAGTAATCATGACATATCATGACTATATTATTTGGATATCATTAACATATACTGTGTATATATATATAATCGCATTTTTTAATGTGTTTCTTCAGCGGTTTCAATGTGTTCCATTCATCTCCGGTCCAGTTTTTCGATCCCAAGAGGCTCCACCAAGCTTCGAGGTGGGATTTTTGGAATCTCCGGTGTCGCCCCAGGAGAGACAGAAGGACTTTGTGAAGCAGTCCCTGGCGGCCGTCGGCCTCTGAGCAACGAGCTTGCGACGCGGGGCTGTGAGTCGTCACAAAGACGCGACGCGAACGAAAGGGGAGACCTTGGACCGGAGAATAAAAAGTGCCCCAAGACGTGGGGAGATTTTTCGGTTTCTCTGAAAATCAAATTGAGAAATCTGAAATGTCCCAAAACGAACAATCTGGGGTAGTTTTTATTATTTAGGGGAGGTTTCGTAATAGGATTTGATTAGTTATGGATTATGATTGTTCAAATGGACCCCCTCGTGCGAGAGGTAAATCATCTCACCACTTTTCCAACGGGCCTGAGAAGCTGAGAATTGGTCCAAGATTTTCCAAGGTTTTTGTAGAGAGCTCGCCTCAGTAGTCAAACGTTGACTCTGGGGTCTGGTCCACAGGACCCAAGTTTGGACATTGATGACATTGAGTCAGGAGTCACAAGACATGGTTTGAAGGTGTGCTTGCAGATAAACTGTCCAAGAGTCATGCTTTGATATTCTCACAGGCGCGGATCCTGTTGAATGATGCCACTTTTTTCCCATTTCACCTCGCCGCAAAGAGCGCGGACAAAAAAAGCGGCACGGATGCCACGACTTCCTGGGGCGAAGCATGGAGATCCACTAGATTCCAGTGGTCGGATATCCCGAAAATATGCCGGATATGATATTGGTCAAATCGTTGTCATTTTGTAGTTCCCCCTTACTATCCATTATTTGGTGAACAAATCCTTCAGATATATAATTATATATGATATATATGATTATATATGTATATATATATTTTTATGGATGGGTGTATCATATACCCATGTGACATGTGAGTGTATAGAATACACATAGGTCTATGGAATCCCAATCAGACCTGTTTCTACAACGAGTCTACGATACCGGCGTCGGGGTCCGGCAATGACTGGCTGATGGCGTTCGGGACTGTCGGCGTTACAGCGGTAATCATCCGTTTTGGTTGGCAGTATATTTGGGATGATATATGTGTGTATCTACACACACACACATATATATATACACATTATGCACATGACCATGGATATGCTATATAATGATTCGTCCAGGGACTTGATGGTTGAATGACGGCATTGCTATGGTTCAAGGACGGCGCGTTCAGAAACCCAGAGACGCTTCAAATTTCACAGCTGCGATCCACTCCTGTTGATGATTTTCGTGGGGGGTCATACTTATACGATCCAATTTCTGTGGGGATCAGAATCCAAACAGCCACAGCAGAAAATTCACCTGGCTTAACGAGTGTCACCCCCATTAGTTGCAATGCTCGGAGATTCCAGTGCGAGGCGGACATGGACGGAGGGCGGCACGGTGGAACTAAACCCTAAATATCAGTTGGGGTACCCACATTTATATGGATTACTATAGATTACTCTAGATTTCTGTTAAACTACTGTAGATTGTTCGATTACTAACTAAACAGTTTTCTATTCTACACTACTATAAACTACTATTAAAGTTGGTACCCCCATGTACGTACCTCCAAAAAAAAAAACAAACTGAGGCTTCATCGACCAAACTGTGCCTGAGTTGAGCATTGAGTTGAGCCAGGATGGAGCATGGTGCCGGTGCCGGTGCATATGGCAGGCGAGTTATGCAGGTTTCATGGTGGTTTCCCCCAGGCTGCAGGTTTCATGATGAAAATGTACCAGGAATTTCCAAGGCAGAGCGGTTCGGATCTGAAAGGAGCTCAAACGGCAGTTATGTATGGCATACTGATTTCCTTGATTGGTTGTCGACTGTTTGCGGTTGTTTCTGGTGAAATTTACCCCTTGACCTCTTGACTCACCAGAATTTGAGTATGTCAAAACGTGGGCGGTAGTTCCAGATGTGTAGCATATGTGATGTACATCCCTTGCCGTTGGGGATGTTGATTTGTTGACTCAACCACCAGATGAATCACTGCAGGTATCCTCTGTTGGTGAAGATTCCGCGCGCTGAAATGCTTGGGAGCACCGTGGGGTTGGGCTTCTCAGGGTCCATGGTGGGTCACGATAAAGTTGATCAAATTCAACGCAGCTGTCATCACATATCCAAGCATTATCCAAGCAGTATAGGAGTTTTGAATGTCATGTTACCAATGATAGTTACTCCGTTGGTGGTTTCAGCCTTGTTTTCGACCTTCCAATAAAGTGGGATGAGGCGCCATGTGCGCCACTGCAGGTTCCGGCACACGGAATACATCATTGAGGTTGATGATTGTGGGAAGGTGTATACGCGCTCGCGCAGGCGGGTGGAAGGCAGCTGTGGAAAGGAAGGTCTAGATGGTTTTCTCCCTGGAGAGCTGCAGGATTTTCTGGTATCTCCACCTTATTTGGAGGTTCCTAAAATGGGGTACCCCTGAATCATCCATTTATAGATGGATTTTCCATTATAAACCATCCATTTTGGGTATCTCCCATTTATGGAAACCTTCATTTGAGAAGCCCTGCTGGAAAAGGTACACCATGTTTGCTTGGCTACATGCCGAACTCCGCCACAGAGAGCTGGCTTGCGCCCTGCCGGGACCTGAAGGATACCTTCAGCAGATTTTCAGGAACATCCCCCTAAGAAATGAATTTTCTTAATGTGAAAATCATCTATAAATATCTATAAATGGTGAATTTTCCAAATGTGGGACTGGAAGCTCAATTGCTGTCCAGCTGAGAAATCATCAGTTGAACCAGTGAAGTGCCCCATTTATTGTCCAAACTCCACAAATGATGCATGAAACAGTGCTGAGTGGCTGGGATGAGTTGCAGGCCTTCTACCATTTATTACCATTTATTGCTTTTGATGATGCAATGATGATGCATTTTGCGAGTCGTGACCGTGGCTTTGCGTTCGATTCAAAATCAGCGTTGCACGTTGGGATAGCTTTTTTGAAGGGGAACTACAATGCACTATAGATATAATATAATATATAGATATAATATAATATATAGATATTAGATGATATTTGAATTAATTAGTATACAATATAATGTATTATGTATTATCAGCCCACATGTTCCATTGGAAATGAACGTGCCGAGAGGCCGGAGTTACCACCCAAGAAGGTCTTGGGCAACCGCGAATCGGCTCGGAGTCTCAAATTCATCGAAGTTGAAGATCCGTACAAAGTCACAGATTTCATGATTTTTAGTAGGGGCTTTTATGGTTGATTTGGTGGAGATGTTCTGGTGATTTTATGTGATCTTCTGGGAATGGGATCTGATCTAACTAACAATACGGATGATGGGTATATCCAAAAATGGTGGATGCCCAAAAGTAACATGTCAATGGAATCATGATGATAAACAATGGCGCACATGAACGTGTGTGAAACATCAGCACCCTGAGGCGTTTGTGGAGAGACGGAAACAAATGTTGGAGGAGACTGCAGCCTGGAGGATGTTGGAGGGAAATCTCTGGAGATTTTCCCAAGTGCTTTTTGGATCGCCAGTTGGAACATGTTGGGACCTGGCTGTTTGCAGGTTCCCAAAGATTTGCTGCGGAGGTAGTTGGAATCGCTGTCAAGGCAAGGGGAGTCCCCTTGTTGACAGGATTATTTGAAGGCGCTGCTGATGTTGCCGGCCGTGATTCAGGCCCGGTCTTGGACTGATTTTTTGCTGCTGGGTTTGGCGAAAGGATCAAGGGGTGCCAGGATTTCTCAGTTTTCCACACTTCAAGAGATGCAGCAATGATCTAAGAAGCAGGTTGTACAAGAGTGAAACAACCATTTTTCGATCTTGAAATCCCCATATTTTCCCCAATTTTTCGCCATTTTTTCCCCAATTTTTTCCCATTTTTCCCCATTTTCTCCGTTGTAAATCCCCATGAACATCTCATTTTCAAGGCAGCCTTAATGGCTTGCCATCGCGGCCCAGGATGGCATGATTTGGGCCTTTCTGGATGCGGACGAAGCAACTGCGGTGGTGCCCAGGCGCTTATGAACCTTGGGACGTTCATGAGATTTTATCGGATTTTAAAGTCTTATATATTAACATACTGGACTCAGGTACAGTAGAGTGTTAGAATCTTCAATATCTGATATGAGCTTGTTCGATAAGTCTTTTTTGTACTGTTCGATGCTGTTTCTATTTCTTCTATTTCTGTAGATTTTTGCAACCAAAACATCCAGCGCTCTCTATTTCAGGACAGATCCCCATGGATTGGTTTTTCTTTGCGCATGTTTTCTGGCCTCATTTTGGCTGAGTTCCTATCCAAATGTTTGATCGTACATGTTGGTTCGTATCCCCCAACAACATCCCAATTCCATGGTGAGGTTCATAGTGCCAAAAAAACCATCAGCAAATCTGGAGTCCTCTCATGGATGCGCATCCCAGACAGCAACCAGTTATCAATGGCTTATACCATGATATAGTGATATACCCCAGCAAGTATAGAAATATGTATGGTCACCCCTCCCACCAGAACCTACCTTTAGTATATTTGTATATATATATATTAAATAAACAAATAAGTTTGATAAATAAATAAATAACTGACTAAATAAATAAATAAATACGTGGATCAATCACCAGCTACAAACCATTGACTAATCATTGACCACCTCGTCAGTGCGTAGGTTCCTCTGCCGCCAAGCCACCCACCCCGCGGCGGAGAAGTGTTTGAGCGCCTTGAAGCGTGCTGTGGCGGAGAAGCAGGTGACCTGGCTGCCATGTGAAGCTATCATGACTGGGGATGGTTGAAATTCCACTAAAAATGGTAATGGAATGGGGATGGTTTATCACTGGGTTTACCACGTACTGGTAACTTGACTAGTTGGTTACTCGCCAAAATGATCCAACATGATTAGTAAACCCAAGAATGAACCAGACAAACTATATATAGTTTTACCATTTGGGGTTGTGTATAAAGCCTGACAATTTAACATTGACAGATTGATTGGGTGTTTTTTTTGGTGTTTATATATACCCAAATATACCCATGTTATGTCGGCGGGTGGTCAGGTCACGCATGCTTGCGTGAACCATGAGATGAATGCCGGAGAGTGTGTTTACCACGTTTGACAGGATATGTTTCATCGACAATGGCTCAACATGGATGGATGTACGAAAGATTGCAGCCTCAATATTATCCCAAGTTTGACAAGCATTGAGCACAACTCAGCCCCTAAAATGGCCGGCTGAACATCAAAAATGACCAAGCACTCGAGTTCGGAGGTTCTTAAATTTCAGCACCAAGGGTTGCCCACCTCTCCGATATGTAGGGCCTGTAGGGGATGCGCATTGCCGCATCAACCAGGATGATTCATCCCAAGCCGGGAGTCACCCAACATGGCTGGAACATCCACTGAAATCCACTGGTTCAGGATGATTTTCCCGTTTGGATCGCAAAAATTTTCCATTTTCCATTTTTTTTAAACAAATCTGAATTTCTGCCTGGAGTTTTTTGGGAGATCAGCATTTCCCATCCTGGGCCCTTTTTGACACCGGGAATCCATGGGAATCCCCATCCCCCGTGGCCCTGTCGGGCGGATCAGGAAGAAGTCTTTCGGCTCTGCGATGCCACGGTTCTGGAGGAACTGGCCAAATTCGCCCGGGCAGAGGCCACCGAGGTGCCGAGATGGGTGAATTCCCATGGTGATGGACGTTTTTTCTATATGGGTATGGGTCAATACCTATAGATACATTTTAGTGGGATGAACATCCATTTACCAGCTATTTTGGGGTTCACTAGGTACCAGGGTTTTGACCCATCCCCATATGTTTCTTGAGGTTTTTTGAATGTGTGAAGGAATATGATGCGTTTGAATTATTCTATAAGATTCCGTCAAACTTGCGTATAAGTAAGCATTGGAGACTGGCTTTTGCATGAAATCTCCTAAAACGATAGGGGACTCACAAGAATAAACCATACAGTTTGCATTTTCTCTGTGTGCGCACGTAGGTTGTTTGAATCACAGGGTACGGAAGTTGGATTTGAGTTTCCTTGAAGCCATTTGAGTTGAGAAGATCAGGTGTCAACAGTATGGCCTGGAAGAGAACTCCAGTGCGTTGTGAATTTTGAGGGGAAGACACCGGGACAAGTGTTTTTTTAATGATTTTGAGATGGATACAGAGAATTCACAATAGTTGGGGTTGAAGAGTGTGGTTACAAGGTCTCGTTGATGGCTTATAAACAGGAAGCATCTTTGTTTGGGTTTCCAAGTGCGCTCCTTCAAAATGCTGGTTTTGGCAGCTTGAAAGCAAACCTAAGACGCACACTTTTACTGGCCTTCACCAACCCTCCTTGTACCAACATTGGCTTAGTCGTGGTTGGCATCCGTGTTACTAGCTATCATTGCTGCAATGATTTCCTGGTCGTTCTCAATGCTCCATCAGTTTTGTCTTTTAACCCATACCTAGATAGAAACAAATATGATAAAGTCCCAGAATTGCTTTAAGGATCTTTAAGGAAAAACATGCAGGACACCACCATATTTGGGAATAAAAACCTGTAGTAGTTTCCGGTTTTTGATTTTCCCTCAAAGAATCCATCGATAAAGCCTTCCATCAATGAATCACCCCTCATTGCTCCATCCTTGCCCTTGCCTCAGCCTATGGTGACGGGCCAGACACAGGCGGGGCGGCATGGGATGTCAATCTCAGTGGATCCTATCACAAAGGATACGCTTAGCAGGCTTCAAACACAGACCTGTAGAATATAGAGCATGATATATGAGATCACACAGATGCATAGCCAGCAAAATCACCTCCATAAAGTCAGAAGACTCATTCAAATCCCACAAGCACCTTATTGGCCATTAATTTGCCAGGTGCGATTGAAGAATCGTGCCAAGCTGTGTTTCATTTTGCTTGGATCTCGGAGTCTTGGGGGCTGATTTTCCACACAAAACCGAGTGCTAAAGGATAGCACCATATTGATGAAACCATCCCATTAACCACATCTGGGGCTATTACAAATCATCCCAGTCATACAGGGACCAACACACTATTCTGGAACATGTGTGTCGGGATATCTTGTGTGTATATGTGTGTATTGAGTATTTGCCGTTGTTTCAGGGACCCTTTTGGTTGACCCACCTTTCCTTCCCCAGCGATTGGCAACTACAAGCTGTGCCATGCAATGAAAAAGGTGACTTTCTTACTCTGACAGTCATGGGCATGTGACATCCCTAGGTACAAGGTGATCAACTATGATCGCGCTCGGCACAAGTTGGTGCAGTCAGACGTGTGGGGCAGCCCTGGGTCTTTGTGAAACACAACTTGTTCGACCCAAGACCTTCTTTTCAAAGATGTTTTGGGAACCTAGATCACCATGATGGCAAGTATTGGATCTATTCATGGTTTTTGGGTCCCAATGATGTGATAAAAATACTGTGAATCAGGATGGTCCAAGGCACAGGACCTTATGGGCTGTTGTGGATGGTTGTGGGTTGTGACCTTGTCAGTCTTATCCTTCACTTATGATCATGAAAGGTGCTTGGAATACTACGTCTTAATATAATATCTTGGTACGTATGTTATATACCTGTGATTCTATGTGACTGTATATATAATATATAATATAATATAAACATATATGATATTTCTGTATATAATATGACTATATGCAATACAACGATACATAACATAAGTATATAAGTAAATGGGTACAAGTCAAAATACAATCAAGGCGCAGGGCCCTTCTCCACGATCCATACCCCACGATCCATGCCTTGATCCATACCCCACCGTGCAATGCGATCCATACCCCACGATCCATACCCCCAATCATCCATGATTAAAAAGAACTACTTATAATATTTTATAATTATATAAACATCAACGATATACAATTATACAAACATCCTTCTGATCATAGAAATGATTACATCTCAGAGGTCTTGTTTGGTTCTTTTATGGCGCTACGAGGTTTGGCGCCTTGCTGGCACTCTTATGTCGGGCCACTGACGACGAGGCGGTTTAACGGTTTCTGTTTAAAATGGATGGGGAATCCCCAACGGATTCAGTTAGCCAATTGAGGATAACTGAGGATAATTACCCTCTGGTTATGTCAAAATAGCTATTGAAAATGGCCATTTATAGTGGATTTTCCCATCAAACATGGTGATTTTCCATAGTTATGGATGCTAAATTATCACCAATCCTCTAGGGGGCAATAGAAAAAAGAAGATTTATGATAGTTGATACTGGATTCGTGGTCTTTAGTCCCTTCCCAAGAATTGAGAATCACTATGAATTCTCACCAAAATATCTATTAGTCATTGTCAACCAATCTATTCCCATAGATAATATATCCATTCAGGGTGGTAATATTATTTGATTCCCAATAATTTAATAATCAATAATCATCATCGATCAAGTTTTAATAAGCATCGTTTATCTATGTCAATTAATGTTATTCAATTTAATGTCAATCAATTATGATCCATTCCCCAAATCCCAATGGACATAATCCCCGAATAGATTTAGTTTAGTACTAAATTTGCAAAAACAACATGTGGTATACCTAAACTTTACCATCGAATAAACGAGAAAATGATGATCAACCATATGTCGTAAATCAATTCTGGGCTACGAGGTTTTCAGACAAAACCAAATAGGGGTTCTCTGAAAAGGAACTTGATTCCACCAATGGATCGCAAAGTACTCCTCCCATTCTTTGAATGGCCATAAATTAAAGTGGGGTGGCCCCCCATTTTGATACAAACCTGAACAGTTATGTTCATTCCATTCACATGTGAATTTACAAAAGATGTTTCTCAGCAGACTTTAATCCATTGACAGTCGTTGTTCTAGTGGACGCAAGGCCCAAAAGACCGATGTTGGGGCTATCTAATGGACACTAGACATCCGGATGATCAACTTCGCCTATTCATTGCGGATGATCAAAACACAAAAAAAAAAACATTCCAGTTTGTCCGACAAAATAAAGGCTTTTTTCCTGTCCATAAATCCCCTGGTTTGTTATGAAGATGTTGGGGAAAAGTGTCATTGAAATCCATGGTTTGTTATCATTTTTCCCTATGAAAATTATGCCATAACTTGGGGGCTCATGGACCCCAGGGCCCCATTTCCTGCGGACCTGACCTGTAGATGGAGCTGGAAATGGCTGCGGAGCAGCACAACAGCCCGGCACCCGGGGTTTTCGAGGCGGTGGTAAACCCAACGACTTACCCTTTTTTCGTGGCCCGAAGTCTGGAAAAAATATCTCCAAATGGTAGTGGTAAATGCTGCTATTTTTGGGGGGAGGGTTTGACCCAGTCAAATTTTGCATGAGAACCCGCACAAATTTAGGCATGAATTCCCCAAACGATCAGTTGATTGGAATTGAAAACCCAGATTTGCATCCTGCCGCCCCTTGAGGTTTTTGGGCCTCAAAGTGTGTGAGGTCGTTGATACAGGACCAGAAGGGATCACCTTTTGATGGATTCTTGAACTTACCCAGTATAGGTAGGGGTAATTCAGCCTTTTACCACTTTGGGAAGAGTGGAAACAGACAATGAAAGCTTGCCTTTTGCCGAAGATTCCATTCATGTTTCGGATGCGGTCAATTGAGCGTCCAGTCGAGCGTGTTTTTCCCAGGAGACGAATGGGGAAGCGCTCCTCTACTTTTGCCAACAGGCGTCGGCAGCTGGATCTTCCTAGCAGCTGAATGGCATGACGCAAGGGGTTGATGGCACTGAGAAACTTATCATTATAGAATTCACTTTTTCCTGAGAGGGAAGGGTTTGGGAGAACCATTTTCGGAGCACTTTTTGCCACCTGCAGAGGAGGGAGCTGTGAATGCCCTGAGGGCTTTGGCTTCTTCTCAGGTGGGGTCCTAACCTCCGCAGGATGTTCCCCTCGCGTCCTTGTCGGGGTTCTAGATCCCAACCCGGTAGCGAACGGCAAAAAAAGGGAGATAAATGATCCACAGTTCTGGGAGAATTGTTCCAGCCATGTTTCTTTACCAGAGGGTAGTTTTGCAGTTATGAATGGCTAGCTGCAAGCTATATCCGAGTTATATCCAATATTTGTCCAGTTACATCCCGATATCGTCCAGTTCTATCCCAATATAAACCAGGATATCAATGATGATCAACCTTCTCCAATGGTTTTTATCCCAGCTATACCCTCAACATGGCAATGGAAAATCCACCATTAGGTTGTTGATTGTCCCAGCTTTTTTAACCTCCATGGCTAGTTCAGGGACTTCCCAGCCATGTTTGATGACGAGGGTATCTTCCAGTTAAGGGATGAACATCACCAAGCCCTCAGCGGGTGTCGAGGTCGATGCCCTTCACTCCCTTTGCGCCTGGGTTCTGTGGTTCGGCCTTCGCTGCCCCGGAGCGCCTTGGGTTTTTACGGCTGTCTGAAACGGGACCCCCAGGGGATGTTTCATGGGATAGAATGGCTACATCATGGGATAGCCAACAAGAGATCCAAGTCGTTAAGGTCATTTTTTGGGCTGGAAACCAATGGTGAAAAACATGGGGGTAGCCCGATTTTTGAGAAGCACTCATATGACTCAGGGCTCAAAAATGGGCACCAAGTGCCAAACAAAATTGGTGATGTTTACCAATTTTGTGAGTGAATGCTTTGAGCCATACCAGATAGAATTCGTTTTAAGATTCACTCTGGTTGATCCATTTGTTTGGGAGTTCTTAGGGACCACGTGGTGTCTATGTCTATGTTTCTGGATCACGCCTTCACTATGAAAACAAAGGCCCAAGGCCGAGGAGAGCTTCAACAGCATGGGCCCATGTCTGAAGACCCAAGGTACAATCCTATCTCAACAGCAGATACCATTGGTTATTGCAATTTTCTATCTTTTCCCACTATGCGGAATTTAATGGATATTAATGGCATTGTAGAGCTTCGCACACCGACGATGCCATAAGGGTTTTGTATAGCAGTGTGCGCGGTGTCGTCGTCGTCGTCGTGGTTGTTGTCGTTGCTGTTGCTGTTGCTGTTGCTGTTGCTGTTGCTGTTGCTGTTGCTGTTGCTGTTGCTGTTGCTGTTGCTGTTGTTTGGTTGTTTGGTTGTTTGGTTGTTTGGTTGTTTGGTTGTTTGGTTGGTTGGTTGGTTGGTTGGTTGGTTGTTGTTGTGGTCGTCGTCGTCGTCGCCGTCGTCGTCGTCGTTGTTGCTGCTGCCCCTGCAGCTCTTTTCTCACACGGCGACTGGATGGGTCGGGGGTTCGATTGGAGCACCGAAAAGTGGATCGCTTAGAGCACCGAAAAGTGGATCGCTTAGAGCACCGAAAAGTGGATCACTTGGAGCGCCGAAAAGTGACATAAGAGATACATAGCGTTGGAGTTCCATATATGCGCAGAGCCATATAGACGCATAAGAAGAGTTTACAATGCTTACAACGTATCAGGAACATGTGGCACGTTACTTGAAGAAGACAAACATGTTGCAACGTTGACTTGATGAAGATGTCAGGAACGTCTTGGATGTTACTTGAAGAAGATGTTGCAATTTAGCAGGAACGTCTTGCAAGTGACTTGATGAAGATGTTTGATCGTAGCAGGAACACCTGGCAAGTTATTTGAAGAAGAGTTTACAAATATCAGGAACGTCTTGCAAGTCACGCACAGAAGATGTTACAACGTATCAGGAACATCTGGCAAGTTACTTGAAGAAGATGTTGCAACGTATCAGGAATGTTTTGCAACTTACTTACAGAAGACGTTACAACGTAGGTGCTGGAGAGGGTCGTTTCGTTCCAATCCCTGTTCCATACCCGTTCCAGGTCCGTACCACTCAGATCTAGAGAGTTTCACTTTCTGTTGTGAAACTGTTGAGTACGTTCGAATCTTTCCATTCTTCTGCAACCGTAGAGCCCGTAGAGCCAGTAGAGCCCGTGGAGCCCGTGGAGCCCGCGGAGCCCGTGGAGCCCGTGCCGCCCGTGCCGCCCGTGCCGCCCGTGGAGCCCGTGGAGCCCGTGCCGCCCGTGCCGCCCGTGAGCCGTTGTCCCGTGAGCCCGTGGAGCCCGTGGAGCCCGTGGAGCCCGTAGAGCCCGTAGAGCCCGTAGAGCCCGTGGAGCCCGTGGAGCCCGTGGAGCCCGTAGTGCCCGTGGAGCCCGTGGAGCCCGTGGAGCCCGTGGAGCCCGTGGAGCCCGTGGAGCCCGTGGAGCCCGTGGAGCCCGTGGAGCCCGTGGTCGTTCAGAAGGGCTCTTCTCGAAGATGTTACAACGTATCAGGAACGTCCTGCAAGTCACTTGACGAAGATGTTACGACGTAGCAGGAACGTCTTGCCTGTGTGTGCACAGGAACATGAACGGTATTACCCCACCCCACCCCACCCCAGCGGTAACTGATCATGAAAGAGCAGTGCAGTGCGTGTGTCTGCAGGACAGCAAGAAAGATGATGAGGTTGCTGTGCCTGACTCCATTTCCCAGCCCCGTGTCCCCAAGTGTTACCCCAAAGGTGTGATTCTCTGGTGCTCTAAGTGATCCACTTTTTTGGTGCTCTAAGTGATCCCATGGTGCTCTAAGTGATCCGGTGCTCTAAGTGATCCACTTTCCGGTGCTCTAAGTGATCCCTTAACCGACTGGATGGGGATGAGCTCTGGTTTTCCTTCGTTCGGGGCTTGGCCCTTGCCTGGCTGCTTTGGTGCTTGCTTCCTTAGTGGCCTAGCGTGGCCTTGCTTGTTTACTAGCTTGGCATTGGCCTTACTTGGCCTTGCCCGGCCTTGCTTTTGCTTAGTGCTTCCTTGCTTGGCCTTGCTTGCTCTTGCTTGCTCTTTCTTGCTTTGCCTCGAATTCTTCCTTGCTTTGGCCTTGCTTGGCCGTGCGTTGCCTTGCTCGGCTGTACTGGGCAGCGCTTGGCTGTGCTGGGTCTTGCATGGCCTTGCTTACCCTTGCGTGGCTTCTTGCTTGGTCCTGCTGGGCCTTACTTGGCTTTGCTTGGCCTTACTTATCCTTGCTTGTCCTGCCATGTCCGATGTCCATTAAATATCCCAATGATATCTATTCTCCCATCAATCAATAATGTTTTTCTCCAGCAGAAAAACTTTGCAATGGGTTCTTTAGCCCAGATTGGCTCCGGTGCGATCGGGTGCCGCTTCAACACCAGGTTCCGGACAAGGTTCCGGAGGGTTCTGGTGCAGATACCTCGTGAGGTTCCGGAGGGTTCCGGTGCGGATACCTGGTGAGGTTCCGGAGGGTTTCGGTGAAGATACCTGCTGAGGCTCCGGAGGGTTCTGTGCGGTTCCGAAGGGTTCCAGTGCAGATACCTTGTGGGGTTCCGGAGGGTTGCAGATACTTGTGAGGTTCCGGAGGGTTCCGGTGCCAGATACTTTGTGAGGTTACGGAAGTTTCCAGTGCAGGTACTTGGTGAGGTTCCGGAGGGTTTCAGTGCAGATACTTGGTTAGGTTCTAGAGGGTTTTGGTGCAGGTACCTGGTGAGGTTCTGGAAGTTTCCGGTGCAGCTACCTGATTAGGTTCCGGAGGGTCTAGGTGAAGATGCGTGGTGAGGTTCCGGAGGGTTCCGGTGCAGATGCTTGTGAGGTTCCGGAGGGTTCCGGTGCAGATACTTTGTGAGGTTCCGGAAGTTTCCAGTGCAGGTACTTGGTGAGGTTCCGGAGGGTTTCGGTGCAGATACTTGGTTAGGTTCTAGAGGGTTTTGGTGCAGGTACCTGGTGAGGTTCCGGAAGTTTTCCGGTGCAGCTACCTGATGAGGTTCCGGAGGGTCTAGGTGAAGATGCGTGGTGAGGTTCCGGAGGGTTCCGGGGCAGATGCCTTGTTGAGGTTCCGGAAGGTTCCGGTGCAGAGACCTTGTGAGGTTCCGGAGGGTTTTGGCGGAGAAGATGCTTGGTGAGGTTCCGGAGGGTTCCGGTGCAGATACCTTGTGAGGTTCCGGAGGGTTCTGGTGCAGATGCTTTGTGAAATTCCAAAGGGTTCCGATGTTTTTTACGGGCTAACGCCCTGGTGCCGCCGACCCCCCTTTAAGGGGGGGCATGGATTGAGCTAGCTCAGAACATGAAGAAAGCAGAGCAAGCACGACGCAGCATTTAAGAATATCACGGCATATCTTATATGCAGTTTCAAGACCCGTAACAGATAGGCAGATAGGCTCCTTGAGCCCGGCCTTCGGCCCAGTGGAACGAAAAGTGCCCAACAGCCAACAGCAGTTTCAAGACCGGTAACAGATAGACTCCTTGGGCCTGGCCTTGCACCCAGCGGCAGTTTCAAGACCCGTAACATAGATTCCTTTTGCCTGGCCTTGGCCCAGTGGAACGAAAAGTGCCCCAGCGGCAGTTTCAGACCCGCAACAGATAGATTCCTTGTGCCGGGCCTTGGGCCCAGTGGAACGGCAAGTGCCCAACAGCAGTTTCAAGACCCGTAAACAACCTTGGGCCCAGTGAGCGAAGAGTGCCCAGAGAGACTCCTTGGGTCCGGCCTTGCCCAGCACCCGTAACAGATAGACTCCTTGTGCCCGGCCTTGCGCCCGGTGGTTGCGCCCAGTGGAACGAAAAGTGCCCAACAGCAGTTTCAAGACGCGTAAGAGATAGACTCCTTGAGCCCGGCCTTCGGCCCAGTCCAATCGATGAAAAGGGCCCAACAGCAGTTTCAAGACGCGTAGCAGATACATTCCTTGGGCCCGGCCTTGGGATCAGTGGAACGAACCGTGCCCAACAGCAGTTCCAAGACCCGTAACAGATAGATTCCTTGGGCTGAACCTTGGGCCCAGTGGAACCAACGGCAGTTTCAAGACCCGTAACAGATAGACTCCTTGCCCGGTGGCCCAGTGGAACAAAAAGTACCCAACGGCAGTTTCAAGACCCGTAACAATAGATCCTTGGGCCCGGCCGTGGGTGCAGTGGAACGACAAGTGCCCAGCGGCAGTTTCAAGACCCTAAACAACCTGGGGGGCCCAGTGAGCGAAGAGTGCCCAGAGAGGACTCTTGGGTCCGGCCTTGCCCAGCAACCGCAACAGATAGATTCCTTGTGCCGGGCCTTGGGCCCAGTGGAACGGCAAGTGCCCAACAGCAGTTTCAAGACCCGTAAACAACCTTGGGCCCAGTGAGCGAAGAGTGCCCAGAGAGACTCCTTGGGTCCGGCCTTGCCCAGCACCCGTAACAGATAGACTCCTTGTGCCCGGCCTTGCGCCCGGTGGTTGCGCCCAGTGGAACGAAAAGTGCCCAACAGCAGTTTCAAGACGCGTAAGAGATAGACTCCTTGAGCCCGGCCTTCGGCCCAGTCCAATCGATGAAAAGGGCCCAACAGCAGTTTCAAGACGCGTAGCAGATACATTCCTTGGGCCCGGCCTTGGGATCAGTGGAACGAACCGTGCCCAACAGCAGTTCCAAGACCCGTAACAGATAGATTCCTTGGGCTGAACCTTGGGCCCAGTGGAACCAACGGCAGTTTCAAGACCCGTAACAGATAGACTCCTTGCCCGGTGGCCCAGTGGAACAAAAAGTACCCAACGGCAGTTTCAAGACCCGTAACAATAGATCCTTGGGCCCGGCCTTGCGCCAGACCCCGCAAAGGTGGGGTCCTGCATTGCTGCCTTCAGCGGCGGGTGATCCCAGCCCGCCCTCCTATGCGTCGGCGGGCTTTTATGGCATAGGCGTTGAATTTTTATGGCAAAAACGCAGAAGCTTTCAAGCCGTTGGGGATAGCACCTGAATTTATTATCATATCATTAATGGGATATTAAAGGGAAATAATGGGATAGCCGCACTAAATATTCACTTAATATCTCAGTAATTTTCAACTTTTCAGGTCCATCTCAAGTGTAAAGATTTTGTGCTTCCCGTTCTGAGGTGGTTACAGCCCTCGCAGGAGCTGCTGGCGGAGGCGAGTGCGAACGGTACTGGATGGACGTGGGATAACATGGGTGAAATCACTCAATGTTCTTTCTGTAGGGCTACTTTTTTTTTGCTTTCCAGCCTAGTTTTGTGGCTTTTGTGGCTTCTGTGGCTTTTGTGGGTACCAACCCTAAATAGCCCTAAATAACATTAAATAAACCCTAAACCAACCCTAAATAGATTTTAGAGAAACCTAAACCAAGTATAAACCAACCCTTAATAAACCCTAAACCAACCCTAAATAACCCTAAACCAACCCTAAACCAACCCAAAAAAAACTCTAAACCAACCAACACTATGATAGCATCCAATGCCACTATTTAGATCCAACATGGTTGTGCCTCAACAATCGATGAACAGTGCAAATGGCAATTTTTAGCTCCAAAAATCAGCAAAGTACAGGTTTTTGCTCCAAAATGTAGCAAATAACAAGGAAAAGTGCCCCAGACTGAAAACAAAATACAACCAAAATTTTGCACCCTTTTAAGTGGGATAACATGGGTGAAATCACTCAGAGTTTTTTTTTCTATAGTGTACATGTGTATGTATTCTATCATATATATATATATGTATATGTATATGTATATGTATATTGACGAATAAATATATATATATATATTCTACATATTGAAAATATATTCTACAGATATTGAAAATATATTCTACATATTGAAAATATATTATATTCCATATATTACATTATATGTATATATATATATGCACATGTATTCTATAGACTTATTTCTATATTGTTTTTTTACTATATCATCATTTGACACAGACTCTCTGGTCCTTTTGAACCCAAACCTTACAGTTGGGGGAAGTCTTCAGTAACTGCCTTCACCAGGTACCCGGGGACTCTTCTTACTGGGAGATCTCCTCAAATCTCCCGATCTCTGCGCTCGAGCTTCTTGGCTGCGTTTGGCTGTGCAGCAGTTAATTTGAATCAAAACTTGGGACAACTGCTGGAATAAATGTTGGGATAACTGGGATAGTTGTTCATATAATCGCAAGACTCAGTTGAAACTGTTTCAAACTGAAGAAATTGGGATACTTGTTTGTTGATTTTTTTCAGGTAGGTAGGTAGGTGGAATAGCATGGACTAGTATGGACTTCAAATTGTGTGCGTGTATGGGCATAGCACGCTAAATCAAAGATGTCCTCATCAGCTCATGTATCTGAAAAATAGATCAATCATGCAACGATACCTTCCCCCTATACAGTGATCCTAATAACGGTGGACCATAAGAAACAAAGTATAATGGATGATAAGGATGACAAATTCGTATAACCAACTTGATATCATAAAACTATACATTGTCATGTTGAGGAGGGCAACATGAAGATGATCCCAACGGCAGTGGATGATTGAATCATAAATAGCTATAAGTCCTGGCCAAGTTACACAAAGTAGGACCATCAAAAGAACTTGAACGTTTAAAGTGGTTTGTGTTTCCAAATCCAACGGTTTTATTGTCATAATCTTTTTTTTTCAAACGTGCGTTTCTGGGGCCCATTTCCGGGCAAGGAATCCATGATAATCCATGATTTCTTGGTTGGAGAAACCCTGAAATATCCACAGAAATGATTGGTGGGTCATCACGTTAAACCCCAAGGTTCATCAATTTTATTGTGCCTTATTATTGTTTATTATTGTTTATTATTGTTTATTATTGTTTATTATTGTTTATTATTGTTTATTATTGTTTATTATTGTTTATTATGGTTTATTATTGTTTATTATTGTTTATTATCATATTGTTCCTTATTCATCATAATTGTTTATTATTGTCCCCCCCATGACCGTCAGAATTTTGCAAGTTGTTCGACAATATTCATCATCATTGGTCCGCAAATAATGTATATGTCACACAAAAAACATTGGTTCCATCATCGTCGTCAGCATCATCATCATCATCATCATCATCATCAACAGTGTTATTTTCATTATCATTCTTCTTATTATTATTATTACTACTACCCTCTGGTTATTTAGCATAGCCATGGAACATGGTCCATAGAAATAGATGGTTTACCTATTAAAAATGGTGATTTTCCATGGCTATGTTAAATAACCAGATGGTATATATCACTATGATTCCCATCATTTTTCCCTTGTTTCAATGGGCTGCCCCAAACCACAGCCAGCCACAGGTGCTGGCCCACCTCTGCATCGGTTGGATCGTCCGCGGGGACGGCCCAGGAATTTTCCACCGGGAAAGGATTGGTTGAAAGCCTATAAAAATAATGGGACAAACATGGGGTAAACCATCAACTGGTGCAGGATTTGGAAGGATATGTTCCAGAGAGTTTTTTTAAGGAGAGAAAGTGTGAAATTTGAGCTCGTGACCCATGTTGGATTCCAAGTGAATGTGAAGAGAAATACAGACCACTCTGCGAAATGATGAAACGGACAAGAGTTTGAGACTCCAACCACGAAGGGCATGTCAGTTTTTTCCAAGTTCCGGTGGCATAGTCCTCATAGTGCCATCGCATGATGCCCTCCCCAAGAGCTGGAGATGGTGACGGAACACACCCATACAATACCCGTACCCTGTAACACTCAATCAATTTCCCAGACCCAGTTCATACATTCCAACATGAGCCATGAATAGCCAGGAGGCATGGTATGGCTTCAACCCATTTCATTATTTCAATTGTCTTGGTGAGGTCAGGAGGGCGCTCTAGATGCGGATGCCAGGGAGTACTGCTTGCAGGTCTACTGCCGGGCTGGGGCATGGTGCGGGGACCTTGTAGTTGAATGCACTCAATATGTTTTTTCTCTTCTATGTCATGCACGTTCTTTAACTTTCCTCATCCTTGAGTTCAGCTTCATCCTTGACATATCGTCATACCATAGCTATTTTCAATGACACGTGAGTCCTCTTGATTCAACGGGAGGGAAAGATCATCCAGCCATGGACCACCAGGCCTTGGCACCTTTGTCGGCCGAGCTGGACGCAGAGGAGGTGAGAGCCATACGAAAAGCCTTGGAGACAGGCGGGCCCGCGCTGTGGATGAGCAGATGGCGAAGGTGTGTGTCATCACTTATCATCAGGAAGTAAGTGGCAACTTGTTGAGTCATTGATTGCATGTTCAATCCAAATTTGGGGAATTCTGGTTGGTGTCCCCTAGCCCAGCCATTGCCCCCAGTTGGTGCTGAGATCAGGTTCCAAGGACAAGTCCACCGGAACGGCTGGGGCACCTCAATGTGCCAACAGAAACTCATTTCAGGGCATGGTACAACCGGCCAATGGGCTGGAGGTGCCAATTTTGAATCTGTAGCCATATCATGGACAAAGAACGCACTTTACGGTTCGATTTGAGAAAAGATGGGAATTCTTGAAGTCGGATGATGTTTCTGAGGACAAGTGCGAGTATGACGCTGATCTGATCGAACCTGTCATGAAAAATGCATTTGTCTGAACTCCAAAATCCAGTGGTGTATCATCAATTCTTTCATTCAATGGCCATCATTTGGGGTACATCCCATTTTCAGAGCCAATCTCCATGATTCATTTGTCACATCCTTAGTTTTCACGCTAAAATCCAACTGTGTCCTATATATATATTTATTGAATATTATTCAATATATTCAATATATTCATTTTTTATTCCATTGTATCCCTCCATAACATATTCCCATAAGAGATTCCCCATAAAACATGCCCATGAAAGATCCATCTCCATCCATCTCCATGTTGTTTCATGGATGGCCCGAGGTCAGCAAGACCATCCAACAGGACGAACTCTTGGACTGCGATCTCATGAACTTCCTCGAAGGGAGGACCAGCTGGGGTTTTGGGGGAAATTCGTTGGAAAATGCGGGAAACTCATGATCTTTTTACCATTTCATCCCAAGTCATATCCCAAAGATCATTGAAATCATTGGGGAGATTTAGGAATCTTCCGATGCGTTACTTGCCTCCGAAATCGATGTCAGGAGTCTTGATGCATTTGATCTTTTGGACCGGCCTGGCTGTCCTGGATTGCTGGAAAAACTGTGTAGTTGGGACAGTCCTGTGGCATCCCAAAATGACCCAACGAAGTTCATGGTGAGCAAATGGCATACTGGGCATACTGGGCATACTGGGCATACTGGTTGTTTCAATTTGATATCTGATCCCAACTGAAATTTTATCATACTTGAATTATCCTATAGCATTATAGTTTATAAGTTATAGTGGTTGATTCAATTGCCATATTTCTTATGTTCAACCTATTTGGAATGATGATCCAACTGACGAGCAAAAAACGGAGGTTCTTAGCCTGGGATCATGGGCGTCCTTGATCATCCAGGAACCACAGATGATTTGGGTCACAATAAAAAGAATGAGTAGGACATAAGTCGACAACAACTTACAAAAATCCCATGTTCATGCCATTTTCATGCCATTTTCGACATATATTTCTTGGAAGCAGCCTAACTCGCCTCATGTCTCGACTGTCTCGAGCCTAGGCACGGCCGGCAGCTGGGGCTGGCAGCCCTGGCGAAACATGTGCCCGAAGCGGATCAGTTCCCCTTGCAGATCATGCTCAAAGAGGCGAAGATTTTGTGCTTTTTTTGCGAAAACATCACCAAATTCACAGGGAAAGTATGATATAAATTTATATAATATATAGTATATATTTATCTTCTTTTCTACTTTTGGGCTGAGAAGATTGGGTACTTTGTGGTAATCTACCACTTTGCCAAGGGGAAAACACCGGTAAAATAATGTAGATTTAATAGGAAAACAGTCTACCTTGTTTCGGGCCAGTTTCCATGAATCCCCAAAACTTGAGCATCTTGAACCATGATGACCACAGCACCACCAAATGCCAAAAACTCATCGCTGGAGGCAACAACGGGTAACACAGCCGGATCTTTCGCTGCTTGGCTGTGCAGGGCATGATTTACAATGTGGTTTCAAGGATCCAACGCAGGAACCATCCACGTTTCTCAGCCTATTCCGGTTGGTGGATGCCTCACAAGGGTCTGATATGATTGATATGGGAAAGAAACTGGAGTGGCTAAATGTTCAAGATGACTAGAATCTTCTGGGTTCCATCCATCCATCCATCCGTATTTGTTTTTCCACTGAACTCTGAGGCTTCATTGCCCGAATCCGCTCCGCCAAGCTCTCGTCGAGATCTAGGTGGCCCTTGGGGTTTTACGTAGGGTACCCCCAAAATCCTACGTGGATTTTATCATCATCTTCACCATTAGATGGTCATCTTTAGGTATCCCACATGGAATATCTCAGAATATCTCAGCTGCTTCCTAATGATATCTATCTTGACACAACTTGTTCGTTCGCTCCTTTTTTTTTTTAATGGATCCCCTTTCAGTTTTTCGCTCACGTCCTGGATCATGGCGACACATCCATATATTGCCATCTCCAGCATGGACTTTCGCCAATAGCCTCTGGTAAACCAAGATAGATGTGGAAAATCCACCATTGTAGATCACTTTCCCAAACGGGTTTCCCCATGGGGGTTCCACATCTTTTTGTATGTTTACCCCAGGGCATGTCATCGAAATCAGGATCCGACCGTCGTTCCAGCGTGCCTGCTGCAGCAGGTGGGAAACCGTGTTTTGGCTGTACTCTTGTCCAATTTTTGGTTGGAAACAAGAACTTTGAAATATGTTTGGCACATAGTCACATAAACACGTGCCAGAAGTGGGTGAAAGGACTCAGTTCTTTGGAATTCGTTGGAGGCTGACAGGTGATTTGATGGGTTGTATTGGCGCTTTCAACACCTGCAGGTCAAAGTGTGGAAACTCTGGAGGTGGACATGTGGGAAGATGAGTTTGTTTGGTCAAAATCTTTGCCAAACAGGTGTCTCACTACGGATTCTACAGATACAACTTTAGAAATCTAGGGTCTTCTAGTAACAACGATGGATATGTCTGCATATTTGGGACCTTTCCAAGTGATCCACAAACTTAACAGGTCAATATTTATCTGAACGTAGGGTATCCCCGAATCCTGTGAGGGATCATCGTTTTCCCCATCAAATTGGTGATTTTGGATATGCCATTCTCAGACAAACCATGAGACATCCATGCCTTGGGACACGCGGAAGATCCCGGAAGCTCCTCCACTGGCCAAGGGTTCTACGCAAGGCCACAGGTTCCACTGACAAGCTGGAGCTGCCTCGTGCCACTCGTCAAGATGTCTGGTGGTTAGAGTTGAGAGTTTCCAGTCTAGTAAGGTTCTATAAATCAAGGTTTTGATTTTTTTCTGAAAATTTTCTGAAAAATTCTGAATCAAATTTCCGAAAAAATTCTGAAAAAATTGTGAATCCAGAGATTTTCTGCTGCCAGCCATTCAAAAATGAATGAAAACAGGTTGTTTTGCTGCTGTTTTCAAGCTGTTTTGCTGCTATTTTCAAACTTGTTGCGTTGCTTTTCTCGAATTTTGACGAATTTCAGAAATTTTTCAGAATTTTTTCAGAACCCTCAAATCTCTAGAAGTCTGGTTGTTTATGTGGGGAATTCCAAGAGGTTAGCTGCCGGGCAAAGTAGCGTTTCTGAAAGAATCAGCGCGTGCATCACCTAAGCCATCAAAAGTAGGTTTTGGGGCACAAACAATTGACATGATGACTTGTACACTACTGGTACATTTGTATCATGTCCATTGTCGATTATTTGGCTAGTCATTTTAAGCATATTTCTGTCCATGTATGTGTATGTTGTATGTGTCATATTATATGCGATTTCCATACTATATATATATATAATAGAGATCCGTATCGTGGACACTTTATATCATCCAGATATCCCTTTCTTTGTTGCCCGGGCATGTCATGTTATGGCCTTCTTTCCAAGGATGCTGCGCTTGTGAAGACCTTGGGGGAGATTTGTGGAGCCAAGGCGTGGCCGGGTGGGGAGATCTGCGATGATGGCCATGGCTGGCTTTCCTGCCAAAAATGCTGTGTTTTTAGTATGCATGCACACACATATATGTATATATATATGTTTATGGAAACATCTTGGAGAATTCGAGCAAAAATCATGGAACATCATGGAACATCATGGAACATCATGGAACATCATGGAACATCATGGAACATCATGGAACATCATGGAACATCATGGAACATCATGGGAAATCATGGAACACATTCATGTTTCAAAAGTAAACGAATTAATGAGCTGCGGCCAGGAGTTGCCACGCTTGCAAGTTCTCCTGGGAGAGGTCATGACGGTGGGAGCTGCGGCCTGTGGGGATGGTGGCCATTGGTGGCCTTAGTTCGTTCGTTTTTTTCTTTTAGGTACCCGTTCTGGTAGAAAACTGTAGAAAACTTTAGAATAGAAAACTGTAGAAAACTGTAGAAAACTGTAGAAAACTGTAGAAAACTGTAGAAAACTGTAGAAAACTGTAGAAAACTGTAGAAAACTGTAGAAAACTGTAGAAAACTGATTTACTTCAGAAAACTGGAGCAAAAATTCTGAGTCGCAGCTTCAGAAACTGTCCGACTGTCCAGTTTCACTGTCCGAAGATGTGATGACTTCGACCTGATGCCAGGGAGAAGATGGTGAACTTGATACGGCTCTTTGGCAGCAGTCTGGTAGCTGGTAGCAGTTCAGCAGGATTTCTTGAAAGGCATGGCAAAAAGCCAATATCCAGTGGAATATCCAGCTAAAAAAATCGAGCTGATATCCAGCTGTTCAAAACGGAATTCCAGCTGTGTTAGTAGTACCAATCTGGCGATTTCTGAGAACTTCACTAGGCCAGGTTCAGGAGATGTGTCTTGGAGAGTGATCTTTCAAGTCATCCAGTTTTCCCACTGATTAAAATAGTGTTTCAATGAGATTAATTATTGGATAATCTGATAATTGGATAATTCCAATGATAATAGTGTTGAAAAATAAGATATTCCAATGTTTATTGGGTATTTGGAACAATTATTACTACTAAGTTATCCTAATTGTCTAATTTTTTGTCAAGAAACTGCATAAGTCCAAGACGGTCACCACGACGCAGTTTTCGGCGATCCATGGCCCATGGCACTTCCCAGTGCTTCCATGGTCGAAGCTTTAGGGAGCTCTAGTTCCAGAGATGACTAAGTGGATCGGCTGTAATCTAAGTCGGATCATATCCATATGCCCAAGACAAAAAATGTAATGAATAGTTGGATATATATTGTATATATATATATAGCTATTATTGTATTAATATTCTAACATAACAATGATATTCTATATATATATGATATATATATGATATATATATATATATATATGATACCCTCTGGTAAACTAACATGTTGCTATGGAAAATCACCATGCTATTCATGGGAAAATCCACTATTTCTATGGTCATTTTCAATAGCTATGTTAAATTACCAGAGGGTATATGAACTATAATATAAACATTATGGTTATTATGGTTATAATCAGTTGTATATGATATATGGTTATATTATATTATATATACAAGATAGATGAACTATAATAAGATAATAATATAACCATATATAACCATATATAACCATATATATAACTGATATAAATTATCATGTTATATGCTGATATCTGCAATTGATATATATATATAGACAGTATAAAGATGCCACTGCTCCGAGGTCACCGCCTGCATCGTAGCCATCTTGGATCACTTCGTCTTGCAGTGTGAGGAGAAGGCGCAGCGGCCAGGGCGCGACGATGATGGTCAAAGGTTGGGTAAAGAACAAATAAGGAGTTCACTTGCAACAACAAGGGTATAGTTAGTATAGTCTATATAGTCTATAAGTACTATAGTTGTATAAATTGTGATACAAGGATGACATTTGATGATGGTTTCTTTTCAGTGATGGTATTGGTTGGAAGGGAAGGTTAAACCTATCTGGAGACCACTGAAACTCTGCGGTTTCTCAGTGGAGCCATGCGCCATGCTGCAGGAGTCAGTGGAAGAGCCGCATGTCAGGGCACCAATTTGGGATCGATCCTGGGGAAACCAATGGTATCTCCAAAAATCGTCCCCTTTCTGAGCCTTTCTGGACCTAGTGACCTAGTTGTACTCATCGGAATGGTGCTTTTTTGTTACCAAACTGGGGCATGTCGGGGCATGTCATCATGTTGTGGAAGCAGTCCTGCCACTTCTTTTTTTCAACACTGAAGTGTTGCACAAAGCTGTCAGAATCAGATGCGACCGCGGTGACTTCATCCTCAAGGATGAAGATCCCAAGACTAAGCCAAACAGTTGATATATGTTGATATGACTTTATTGTGGAATGTGAATTGCGACCAAATTTTGGGGTGTGTTTAAGATTGACCCCCCAAAAAAAGCATGTTTCCTTGGTTGAGAAACCCAACCCTTGAGGCTTTGAGCACCACCAAGAGAGGTTCTAAGGTGCTGGACCTGTGGGCTGTGACCCCCTTCAAAACAAGAGAAGATAAGGGTTTGAAGCTGTAGGAGGCCCCCAGATGCCAAAAAACAACCAAAAAACATATTTGGATCATTTTGTTTTTTTCCGACAGTGAAGCGATGGAGTGGAATTGGTGAAACTAGTGCTCCTATGTGCTCCTGACTTAGACTCTATGACACTTAGATATGCAACATGATGTAACTCTGTTAAGTATGTGAATGTGGCCACTTCAGAGACATCTGAAGTGACGAACATGTCGTTTGGAACCGAGGGTTCATGCCAGATGGAGTTGAGCCAACTTGCCGGGACTGGGATTCCTGTGTTGCATCGGTTCAATGAAGCCAAGTGGAACTTACCTGTCTTTTGTTCAGGACTCAAATCTGGTGTACTGCAATTCGGTCCCGATCTGGAAATTCCCTCACAATGGTAGATCCTCACTCATGAAGTTCATAATCTCCATGGTCTTCATCGTCATCGTAATCGCAATCGTCATCGTCTTCATCGCCATCGTCATCGCCATCGTCATCGTCATCGTCATCGTCATCGTCATTGTCTTCATCGTCTTCTTCGTCTTCATCGTCTTCATCGTCTTCATCGCCGTCGTCATCGTCATCGTCATCGTCATCGTCATCGTCATCATCATCATCATCATCATCATCCTCCTCCTCCTCCTCCACATCCAGAATCGCAAGTAGCATTGTAGCTGCCGGATGGTGATTTCTATGGATGAGCACTCATTTGCAGGTGACCTTCGCACCCACACGAGAGTGTCTGCGCAGTGTGGCATGGCCAGGGATGGGGGACTGCTACGTGAGATGAAGTGAACTGTGTCTATGGTCACCATCCTCCTTTGATGGGTAACGACCAGTTTCTGTGATGTGTCTTGTTGTTTTTTTTCCCCTTTTTAGAGTGGTTAAGTTTGTACGTTTTCCACCCTCGGCAAAGCGGGTGAAACCATCTATAAGGGTCACTCAGCGCATTCATCTACAACCAAGCACTCAACTGCTGCCAGCACCAAATGCTACTCTGTATGTAAATGTACTCTGTTAATCCAATTTGTTTGGCTGTCTAGCTATGGGTTTGCGTCATACTTTGTGCCCTCAAATCCCATCAAACTGTTTGTCCATGGTCTAGCTGTTGATTTCACTGGCCCATTCCCTTAGAAGTGCCAACAGCAAAACCTGGTCCTCCAAAGTCACTGCCAAGGAGCCTTCCAAATTGCAGGAACTGCAGCCTTTGATCGGCCAGTTGGAACGCCTGGTGAAGGCCCATCTGCCAGTTTGGGAAGCTGTAAGATTTCACCCGAAAAAACATTCCCTTGGTTAGAAATCTAGACGTTTAATGATAGTTTGATGTGAATTCCAGTTGTTTTGCAGAAATCTTTAAAACCTTGGCCGCATCCTGATTTCAATCTTTTGTTTCCATTAGCCAAGTGTCTGGAGGAATTCTAAAAGTAGCTGAAGGTATTCCATGATACTTCTATTTCGCTGGATAATATCAATATGGTTTTGGGTATGTGTTTTCGTACCAATTTCGTAGGTTGATGGTTTATTGATCATCTAAGTCTTCGATGATCTTAGGCGCTTCAGCTACCAATTCCCAGATGTTCTTCGTTTCCAGGGTGGTGCTGATGGCATGGTCCGCGGTGGCGTGGGCGGGGCTGCAGCAGATCAGCCGCCCAATGCACAGGTCTCGGTGGAGGAGGCGCGTTCTGGTGTCGGAGATCTGGATTTCATAGGATTTTATCGGGATAGCATGAGATTTGCTATATATATATATATATATGTAGTTTTTATGTGATGATGTAAAAATCCTTCTGATCATAGAAATGATTACATTGGTTACATCTCAAGTCTCAACTGCTTTTCAGAAGATCATGTCATCTGGTGCCCTTAAATGGATAGAATATGGACGTTGATATGTGGATCTCATGGGACTTTGATGAATGCATTTGCACCACATTGAATCAGATATCCGGATTTAATGGAATTTGATCGGGATGGAATGGGATAGCCAACAATGAACATGGCAACAACCTATTTGCAGAGATCCCCATATGTACATATCTTATGATCATGACATGAATATATCTATACAGTGTATACATATATAATATCTGGTACCACACCTTCCATATAGTCTGTGAACACCCGAATTAGTCTGTGAGTGGTTAATAGTCTTGGGATAGTCCTGTGTGAAGAGGCCCCAACTGGGTAGCCCCTGAGGTCCGTGTGCGCGCAGCGCGGATCCTGGTGCGGATCAAAGCGTCTTGCGAGGTGCCAAGCTGCATGTTCCCACCTGCTGCAGCTACCAACATGACCCAACGTTTGTTTGTTTCGCAACTCTTGCAGTATTTGACACTTTTGTGCAGTATTTGGAACTTTTGTATGCTTCATTCCCAACCTGCTAGCAATAGGGATTGGATGCTCCCTGATATAGACTTCCCACCACACTTTTATTGGCAGGCTGGTTGAAAGCGTATAAATAGTATTTATTGATAAGATAAAACCATATATAACCATAGAAAGCCATGGAAAATCACAGATAACCATATAGTTAACCCACTTATTGAACAGCATCCCACTGTCCAAGAAGTGGCATCAGTAGCATCAGTGCTTGGGAGATCCAGGTGCTAAGCACTGTGCCGCTGAATGACTTTGGTGTGGCAGCCCAGAAGCAAAAATTTTTGGGCGTTGAAATCATCGAATCAACTGACGAGTCAAAGACGTGGCGGGCTGTTTTAGGTCAGATAATGATCTGTTTTATCGTGATCTGAGTGATCCAATTGAATTGGGAGTAGCTGAGTAGCTATTTTCAGATAAACCCATGTGGGTGTATGGTTTAGACTGAACTGTACGAGCAAGCACTTGGGAAGTAACTGGAATCATTGGATGTTGCTCATGTTTACTCAGCATTGGATGCAGAACTGTTACAGTGGATAAATATGATTGTTCCACATCCAAAAGTGGAGCCTTGGGCTTTGGATTTTTTGATTTTTGGAATTAGAGGAATCTCATCTTCGCGTTGCAGACCTTTGAATTAGCTCTCCTTCGGGTGATGACGACTAGTGGACCGTGAGGGAAAGTTGTGAAACATAGAACCAGAAGCGTGCCGGTGAATTATTTGCCACCTTTGGACCAAATGTATTGAGAGGCTTCTATGCTCTACAATGCAACATGCGTGACATCTTGGGCTCAGTAAATCTACGGCTACTCTCAAGGCAGAAACGAGGTTCTGGTGGCACAATCCCAAAGAGTGCCCTATGTTGTGAATGGTTTGAGCAGTATGCTTCAATGTTGATGTCTTAATGGGACGATGATCTGCGATCCTTGCTCCACCCAGATATCTCAACCAATGATGGGCTCAATATCATTGCATATCATTGGATATATACATAGGATACATACATAGGATGTATTCACAATATATATACCGTTAAAAACAAAGTTAGAATGCGGTTTTGGCTTCGCGTGATGGTGGCCCGTTTGGCCCCCCCCCCCACGGCAGTCGCATTCTAACTGAGGAAACACCTGTAAATATGCAGAAACACAGTTAGAATGCGGCGCCAAAATTGGTAAGAAAATGTAAGTTTTGACTGGTATTTTACAGGCGAAATACAGTTAGAATGCCTCCTCCTTTTCTTCTATATTGTTCCTTGCCCTTCCTTTTCTTCTATGTCTTTTTCATTGATCTATATCTGCTGTAGTTTCCGGGGGGCATTTTGTCTGTTGTTTTTCTACTGTAGCCACATTTCTGACCCGCAGGGAACCTGGAGTGCCCTTGTCTCTTTTCCGCTCTTATCCGCTTCCCTTTCCTTGTCCTTTTGTTTCTATAATAGTCCTTTCCCTTCCTTTTCTTCTATGTCTGTATTCATTGATCTATACGTGCTGTAGTTTCCGTAGGCATTCTATCTGTTGTTTTCCCCGCTGTAGCCATATGTTTCTGACCCGCAGGGAACCTGGAGTGCCCTTGTCTTTTTTCCGATCTTATCCTCTTCCCTTTTCTCCTCCTTTTCTTCTATATTGTTCCTTACCCTTCCCTTTCTTCTATGCCTTTTTCATTGACCCATATCTGCTGTAGTTTCCGGGGAGGCATTCTATCTGTTGTTTTCGCCACTGTAGCCATATGTTTTTGACCCGCAGGGAACCTGGAATGCCCTTGTCATGCCCTTGTCATGCCCTTGTCATGCCCTTGTCATGCCCTTGTCTCTTTTCCGACCTTATCCTCTTCCCTTTTCTCCTCCTTTTCTTCTATATTGTTCCTTACCCTTCCTGTTCTTCTATGTCTTTTTCATTGATCTATATCTGCT